ATCAGTGGATAACAGGCTACTGCATGCAGAGGCAGACTCTTCCCTGCACACCCGCCCAATGCATTTTTGACACAGAGGTTTCTTCCAATCAGACCCAAGCTTTAGGGCGCAAACTGCACACTTCCTCTTAGGGACAACCTTGACTTTAGAAAATTGGACCTGTAACACAGAACAAGAAGAAATTACCCCTTCTGCTAACCCCCTTGTCTCAGACAAGCTAGAATGCCCCCTCAAAAACATAAGCCCAGCACCAAGGAGCCCGAGGTGGAGGGAAAATAAAACAGTCAGGACTACAGGGAGGAAGGACATGGAAGCATCCACCTACCTGAGCAGAGCTGGTGCCTGAAGGACCTGTATCCGTCTGTGCGGTGTGCAGAGGAGTTACAGGATCCATCTTGCTGAGAAACCAGTTCTCCCGCCGGCGATTTCTCACAGTCAGGCATGGGATCACGCCGTGTGCACCAGCCAGGCCCACCCCCTTCCTCTGCACCGTAAACGAGGCCTGGAACGCAAGCGGCCGGAAGTAGCGTCACCCGCACCGGAAGTGACCTAATCTGTCATCCGATCCGGCCGTGGAGGGACTCCCGGGAACCCCAAGACCGGCGGCCCCCTGACTTTGAGCCACCTGGTCCAAGGATTCAGCAAAGGGTGTAACGCAGGTTCCAGTGCTGGCCCTCCCCAGGCACTTAAGAGGATGAAGGGATCCGGTGGGGAATCCCCTACCGCAAGAGGAGCGTTCCGGTGACATGTCCCCCCTGACGGAGGAAACACATAAAAACTGAGGAGCTAAGGGAGAGGCGGAGCTTTTAAAACTGGGGGTGACATGTTTCCTACTAAAAGGGGTGGAGCCTATCTCTTGCAAGCTGTTCTGGAAGACGACTGAGAAACCTAAGTGGCTTGGGGAACAAAACATTTAAATTTTGGGTCCAAAATTGAGAACCCGTGGCCAATCCTCAAGAGGCAGGTGAACAAAAAAAACCCCCACAAATTCTGACAAACTCCAAGCATTGATTTACGAAAGAATGGGCTGCCATCAGTCCGGATGTGGTCCAGAAGTTGATTGACAGCATGCCAAGGCGAATTGCAGAGGTCTTGAATAAGAAGGGTCAACGCTGCAAATTTTTACTCTTTGCAGAAACTTAATGTAATTGTCATTAAAAGCCTTTGACACTTATGAAATGTGTGTAATTATACTTCACTATACCATAGTAACATCTGACAAGATCTTAAAACACTGAAGCAGCAGACTTTGTGGAAATATTTGTGTCATTCTCTAATTTTTTGGCCAGGACTGCATTAGCCACTTGTTTCTTCTTTACATACTTTTTTAAAAAGTTTTCACATAAAAGTCAGCTTTAGCACACCCACTAGTATGGCTCAGAAAAAAAAAATTGGTGGCTTGTATTGCAGTTACTCTGCAGACATGCAAATAGTTTTTGAGCCACAGGGAAGCCCCTTAAATCCTCCACTGCCAATGGTTTAAGAATGTAGGGTTTGTTTACATCATGTCCACATCATTAAAGTGCATAGAGGGAATCTATCAAAACTGGAGCAGACAAAATATGGAGCAGTGGTCAGCTTCTCTCTTCAGTTAAGATTTCAAAATGAAAGAGAGAAGCTGATTGGTTGATTGGTTGCAACGTACAGCTGCTTCAGATTTTGTCTGCTCCAGTTTTGATAAATTCCCCTCCATGTCTTTTTGTTAATTTAACGGGATACCCATCACAACAACCCTTGTTTTGAATGGGCTGTCAATGTACTTAATCACACAACAAAAAAAAGGGGGGGGGGGATCCTGAACTCTATTTTCTTACAACATAGCGCACTGCAATGTACAGAGCATCTGTGCATTGTGGTGCACTACAGTGTACTATATATGTGCATTGGGTTCAATTAAAAGAGAACTAAACCCAAACCTTTTTTACTCTGCGCTGTCAGCTATATACTGACAGCGCAGAGCTGTGCTGCAGCCAAGGAGGATCCCGAAAATATTGTCAGGATCCAACCCACTGCCTGATTGACAGATGGCTCTGCCTCTAGAGCAAGGGCGCCCACAATTTTTCATCTGGAGATCTACTTTTCAAATGACGAGCTCAATGAGATCTACCAAAGAAAAAACACCTGCGTTCAGGGGCGGGAGGGGTCGTGGCGGTGCATTGAAGTCAATGGCACCGCAGCCAGGCCCCTCACCCACAGTGCGATCGCCTGCATCTGGAACCCAGGCACATTAGTGCCTGCATTCCGGTCCAGTGCGATCTGCAAAAATGCTGCAAGCACTATTTTTGCAGATCACACTGGACCGGAATGTAGGCACTAATGTGCGGGCGATCAAACTGTGGGACATGGCTGCGGTGCAACCCCACACCCCCTCCCGCCCCTGAACGCATACCAGTGCGTTCTAGAGGCGCGGGCGACCTATTCTCCCGCAGTGTTCGTGTGGCGGACGTTGCACACGGGGAGAGGTGTCCCGCCCCTTTCAGTGTGCGGCGTCTGACACATTCAGCCGTCAGCCGCACAAGCACCGCGGGATCATAGCAGTAGCCAGATCGTTTTGCACACGTGGCAAGAAAAACAGCAGCATGTGCAGTAAGGAGAGAGAGAGCCGCCGGCTCAGATCCAAGCCGAGCGGCTCTCTCTCTCATCACCGCTCGGCGTGCTGCTGTGATAGCGGCTCCCTCCCCCGCCGCCGACTGCAGCTTCACTATTCCTCGGATCCCCGCTGCATACAGATGGGGGAGAGAGCGGGGATCCAGAGAAGACAGGACATCGCGATCACTGGTAGATCACGATCGACCTTATGGGCACCCCTGCTCTAGAGCATGTTGTGACTCACCCCTACTGTATCTGTCCCTTCAGTAAGTGCTGGAGGAATAGAGAGAGGGAAGGGGGAATCCCTAAAGGACCGACAGTCATGCCTCTCTGCAGGGAAAAGACAAGAGCAGAGCATGCAGCCATTTGTGATTGCTCTGTTCTCAATCTATAGAGCCATCATGTGACAGTTGCAGTGTCACACGCCGGCTCTAAGTATTGGGAAGAGTACATTTTACTCTCCCAATACTTCTCCTTTAACTTTTGTACAGGGAAAGGAAGTATGGATGACAACTTATAGCTAGCCCAGAGTTGAGGTTTAAAGTGATATTAAAGGCAAACATTTTTTTCCCTCCACCCCCCCCCCCATGTAAATGTTAGCACTTACCTTAAATGATGTCTCTTATTCTGGTCTTCCTCTTCTTTCCCCATGTTTTCATGTGTCCCTCCAGCGGTGCGACGTCACTCCGATCCAGCGCTGACTGCTCTGTCCCTCCGATCCAGCGGTGTCTGCATGCGGGTGCACGCGTCCATAGACTTACCTTGCGTCTCTGCTCGTCTCCCGGCCGAGAATCGGAACTGCGCATGCGCCCGCCCCAAGATCCTTTGCGGCCGTACGAGCAGTTCCTGATTCTCGGCGTGGGAGCGAGCAGCGATAACGAGGTCAGTTTAAAATGATTTCAAGCGGTTTTTTTTTTTTTTTTTTTACACTTCTTGCCTATATCTACTGCTTGCTAGGGTTTAGAACCCCTTTAAGTACTAAAGAGTTATCTTCTTCTGAAACTTTTAACAGCCCATCTACAGGTAAAAAAAACACAAAAACAAAAAAAACAAAAAACACAAAAACATCCCTCCCACAATTTCTTCTTAAAAAAAAAAAAAACTCTTAAGCCTTTACAATTACCCCAATCCACTGTCAGAAGAATCTCTGCGGCACTTGTGTCAGGAAACCGGTGATCCACCATGGCAGGCCGGCCTGCAATTGCCCTGATGCTATCTATCTGCCAACATCACCACAGCTGGAATATTACAGAGCCTACCAATGGGCCCAATGGAAGTTATTAGGCAGCAACATGGTCACCTGAAGTGGCACCTTCCCACTTTGCAATAAAGAAGCAAGAAGACCCTTCTGGCCTGAACAGGAGGGTCCTTCTACAGGTGTTCATGACACGGGGGACTGATCCTATTGACTGAAGATTTCAGTAGCAGTGGGACAAGAAGCAGAAATAATACTGGTCGGGCAAGGACTATACCGGTTGGATCACCGGTCTTCATTCCTGCAAGAAGGGACACAAGGGAGCAGAATAAAGTGAGTATACAGTAGAAGGGTTTAAGAAGTTGTTTAAAGCTGAACTCTGGGATGCAAAAAGTTCAGGAAGGAAGGTAAAAATGTCACCTTATTCCTATCACCCTAAACAAAAATGGCATTTAACCCTTGCAGTGCAGAGGGGGCCCCACTGCAAAAGTTAAATGCTCTTTTTGTTTAGGGTGAAAGGAATAAGGCGAAGTTTTTACCCAATTCCTCTTCCAGCAGGCTTTCTCATCTTCTTAAGACCGATACCCTATAACTGCTCTTCACTGCCTGACAGGTCGCAGCTGTCTGACATCACATTCTTCGCAGGACCAGTGACCCTGTGCAGTATGTGATGAGAGCGTTGGCCCGTCTAAGTCTGAGGAGCTTTGCAAAGCACCAGCTGACAAGGAAGTGAAGAATAGGGCAAGTAATTCACCTTAATTGTCACCCCTAGACATAAGAACTCAACACTTGCACAGCACAAAAATGTGTACTGCAAAGATAACTTCTCTCTAGCACAGAGCTCAGCTATAATTTTTGTCAATGAAGGAAGGGGAGGGGGAACCACAACAATTGGCCACAGATAGACTTTAATTGGAATTTCATGTGCACTCTACCGCTACACAGTGCAACAATTACTGCAGTGATAACACTGATATACCACAATATTAAACAACTGTTGCTTTAGTTATGGATTACTACCCAGCTGGGCACTGGCTCCAGCAAGTATCATCTAAGTACCAGTACCCTACCTGTCACACCTGGAGACCCCTATTTTTCCAGCATTCTAAGTAATGGCAGTATGCATGTCACAACTAGACACCAATATCGCGCAGGTGATTATGGGCACAAGTAACATGCCTGTGAAATTTGGGCTCTCCAATTCTATCAAACTCACCTGGTGCAAGGCACTGATGCCATCTGTGTTGGTGCTATCAGTGATCTCCTTTCCGTCCTGTCCACTGAGCATGTCTTCTGCCTCCAACAAATCTCCACCAGCACAGACAGCCAGGAACTCTGCTGCCCGCTCGAATCGTACAGTGCGGCCAGGATCCTCATCTTCCCGTTCATCCTCACGCCTCCTCCGCCGCTGCCAACGGGGCTCCGCCGCCTCCTGGTTAGTGCATGAACGAGCCCACTGGCGAAGCTGCTCTTTCCGCCTTTCCTTCGCCTGCGCAGCAGCAGTAGCCCCCTCCGCCATAATCTGTTTATGTGTCTCTCTTCTTCTCCTCCTCCGCCCTTTACGTCTATGATCCGTGCCGCCAGGCTGATGTTTGGCGTCATGACGTCCTATGTGGCCGCGCTCTGCGTTTGCCAGGAAATGTAATTTGTGGAGAAAAACGGGTTGGCGGTTCTTGTCCTGCCTAATAATTATTAATTTCTTTTTATAGGGACAGCGAATCTAATAAAAAATGTCATAGGTGTAGTGACAGCAAACCTAAGAGCTTTTAAAGTCATTTTTAGATGCCATATCTGACTATAGCTAGTTTTAAAATTGTTGAAAAAGGAGGTAGCCCCATCTCCTTTAAAGGCATAGGGACACACAAGCCCTTTCTGTGCACCTTGCTTTAAAGCTAGTTATGAATTGATGAGTGCGTGTGCCATTCGTTTCACTTGTTGGATTTGGTGTGAGGACATGCTGGGTGATTCAGCTGTCATTGTGATGTGCGGGGTTCCTTGTGTGTCTCTATGCCTTTAACCACTTGAAGTCCGCGGTGTTACACCCCCTTCCTGGGCAGGCCATTTTTCAGTATTCAGCGCTGCCTTACTTTGACTGACATTTATTCCGTCATGCAACGCTGTACTGAAATTAATTTTATACCATTTTTTAGGGACAGATAGAGCTTTCTTTTGGTGGTATTTAATCACACTGGGGTTTTTATTTTTTAATATATTAAGGAAAAATTACAGAAAATACAATTTAAAAAAACTTCCCCTTATATTAAATGATAAAACATTTATTATTACCCAATTTTTTGCTAAAATATAAAAGACAGGGTCACGTCGGTTAAATAGACACCAAACATGTCAAGCCTTAAAATTGCGCGCGCGAAACCTCAAAATACTACAATACCCAAAATTAGCCAAAGGCAACGCTTTAAAAGCTTTTACGGCTCATTAGTTTAGTTTTATCAGTGATTGATGGCCCTAAAATGATTGCTCTCACTCTGACGTTCGCGACGATATGTAACATGTGTAGCGCAATTGTCATTTTCGCACACGGTGGCGCATCAAACGCATATTTACGTTATATGTGTGTAAATGTGGGGGTGGGGGACTTAAAAATTTTGGGGGTTTTTTGAACTTTTTTTTATATGTGACATTTATTTATTTTTACTTTTTTTATTTATTTTTACACTTATTGTTATCACATAGTGGGATAACAATCCCCCTAAATAATAGCAAAGGCACACTGACAGGTCCTCTTTATGGAGACATTAGGGGTCTCTAAAACCCCTAATGTCACCTGGGGACCCCAAAATAAGCTGATGAAGCAGAGATCTGCTTCATCAGCTTCTTCTCTCTGGTTATAGCGCCCAGATGACTGACAGGTGAATGCGGAAGTGATGTAAAACACATCACTTCTGCATTTAGACCTCGGAGGAAATACAGCAAGGAGGAAGATGCTGATCTCCCTCCCATCTTACCTCCTGACACCCTCCTGAGCCGGTCCCGGGCCGCAGATGGGCTAGCGGATCCCGGGATTGAAGGTGAGGGGGCGGCAGCAGCGGCACTCGAGGGAGGGGGCGCAGCCAGACAGCACATACATACTAGAGCTACAACAATTATTCGATTAAGTCGATTAAAATCGACGATGGAGAATGTTGTCAACGTTTTCCGTCATCGATTCGTCGGCTATCAATTAGAAAGCCTGTTCGAGGCTCCATACACGGGCTACGCTACGCACGCCGCGTACATCGCGCACACACCACGCCCACCGCACAAGCCGCACACATGCTAAGCCGGACACACGACCGCAGAGCACGCCGCCACCGCTGTGACTTACGAGGGTTCAGAAACAGGTGTTTTAATATTTCCTGTTTAAAGAAAAAAGCGGCACACTGCAGAACATTAGCAGCTATAGAGGAGCAACAAATCTAATCAATAATACATTAAACAGCCTGTATAATGTATTATTGCTGGGATTTGTTGTTCCTCTATAGCTGCTGGTGTTCTGCAGTGTGCCGCTGTATAATACATTGGTATTTTGTATTGTATTATGCATGGTAATCTGAATTGTATAATACAGCGACACACTGCAGAATACCACCGACTAGATAGATATATATATATATTCTGGTCGGTGGTATTCTGCAGTGTGTCGCTGTATTATACAATTCAGATTACCATGCATAATACAATACAAAATACCAATGTATTATACAGCGGCACACTGCAGAACACCAGCAGCTATAGAGGAACAACAAATCCCAGCAATAATACATTAAGCAGCCTGTATAATGTAGTATTGCTGGGATTTGCAGTTCCAAGTGGCTCTGCATGCCATTACCTTCACCGGTTTTCTTTTGCTTTCCAAATCCTTGTACAACTGAGGAAGGAAATTTCCATATACTAAACAGTGGGAAATACCGTGCAGCAGGGTGTCTTCATGGGAAGCACAACCAACCATCTGCATATACATTTCTGCTCATTCAAACTGCAGTTATTTCTACTGGTGGTTGACAACCTTTGTCTTCAATATTATCTTACAATTGATGAAGGAAAAATCATAATGCGATGTTGGTGAGATAGACTGTGTAGCAGGGTGAGTTTACAGGAAGCAACTCAGGATGCACAGTTTCAATCATCTTTATTTATAACCACGTCCATTGAGACTTTCTTCAGTGTACACAAATTCACCTATCTTTGATACCTCATATTAGATTATATACCCAGTAGTCGGACTGTACTACATCCAGTACCTATTTTTCCCATGTCTGATTTTGGGATTTTATGAGTTTCATGGACCAAGACAATTGATCCACACCACCCACCACGCGGTTACCGTTTATATTAACGCAGGACATGTGCATTCATTTTTTTCTATTTAGGCCTACATCAGGTACCCAACTGGTCTTACATGCATTGTGTTTTTATAGGGAGGGGGTTTTGCTGATGCTGGGGAGGGGGTATATGTGTGCACATTGGCTAAATTATGTTTATATACATTCTTTTGAAATAAATACATTTTTTGATATGCTAATTTTGTTTGAAGAACATTTATGTCAGGGGCGCCCACTATTTTTCGTCTGGAGCTCATTGAGATCTACCAACGAAAAAACACCTGCATTCAGGGGCGGGAGGGGGCATGGTATAGAGGAATACTACAAATCCCAGCAATAGTAAATTATACAGCGCAATGCAGAATACCACCAGCTATAGAAGAATACAACAAATCCCAGCAATAGTACATTATACAGCACAATGCAGAACAGCACCAGCTATAGAGGAATACAACAAATCCCAGCAATAGTACATTCAGAAGAATACAACAAATCCCAGCAATAGTACATTATACAGCACACTGCAGAACAGCACCAGCTATAGAGGAATACAACAAATCCCAGCAATAGTACATTCTACAGCGCAATGCAGAATACCACCAGCTATAGAAGAATACAACAAATCCAAGCAATAGTACATTATACAGCACAATTCAGAATACCACCAGGTATAGAGGACTACAACAAATCCCAGCAATAGTACATTATAGCTGGTGGTATTCTGCATTGAGCTGTATAATGTATTGCTGGGATTTGTTGTACTCCTCTATAGATGGCGGTATTCTGCATTGCGCTGTATAATGTATTATTGCTGGACTTTGTAGTCCTCTATACAGCGCAATGCAGAATACCATCAGCTATAGAGGAATACAAATCCCAGCAATACATTATAGAGAACCATGTGGGGGTAAATTGCAGGCTTACCTGAGCAGTCTTCCAACAACTTGCTTCTGAGATTGGGCCTGTCTGTCGGCGGCTGTCATCCCTCCACGCCTGCTCCTCCTTACTTCTTCTCTCCGCATCCCTGTGCCAATCATGGATGTGGGCGGGCGGTGAGTGTGAGGCAGGGAGGAGGTGCGGTGTGTGGAGTGTGGATGCAGGTGGGGGCTCCCTGGACCCTGGTTGTGTGGGCTCAGCTGCCAGTTCGTCCGCATCAGTGGCTCCCTCCGCCGCCTCTCTTCCACCTGCACCCGGCCAGCCCACCCGCCCGCATCAGATGCGGCTCTCTAATAGGGTTTGGCGGGTGCTCGCTCCTCAAGGGGGTCTTCGGGAGGCCCCAGGGGGTGGCCCTCTAACATGCCTGATTAGAGGGCCGCGTCTGCCTGATCCAGCCAGCCCAGATCGCATACCGAGGCAAACCGGGCTGGCTGGATCAGGCAGATGGGGCCCTCTAATGCCCGAATGGTCAGTCTGCCCCTGGTCAGCGGGGATGTGCGGGGTCACCGGGGTTGTGCGGGTTCACCTGAGCTTATTTGGTGTCACCGGGGATGTACGGGGTCACTGGAAATTGTTTGGTATCACCAGGGATGTGCGGGGTCACCAGAGCTTATTTGGTGTCACCGGAGATGTGTGGGGTCACCGGGGATGTGAGGTGTCACTGAAAATTGTTTGGTGTCACCGTAGATGTGTAGGGTCACCAGGGATGTGCGGGGTCACCAGAGATTGTTTGGTGTCACCGGGGATTATTTGGTGTCACTCCTTTTCCCACAATGCTTTGCTTCTCTCGCACATCCTCGGTGACCCCGCACATCTCCGGTGACACCATACACATCTCCGTTGACCCTGCACATCCTCGGTGACACCGCACAGTGAGGATCTATCAAAACTGGAGCAGGCAGCAAAATCTGGAGCAGATTTGCACGGCAACCAATCAGCATCTCTCTCTCATTTTTAAATCTTACCTGAGCGGGGGGCGTGGTTTGCCAGCGCGCTGCATGTACGCTTTTCGTTAGAGCTTCGTGCGGCGACGGGCCTCGAGGCTAATAAAAGCAACTATCGGGTCTTACCCGCAACTAATCGGAACCCTCCTCTGCTTCCTCCGGTCCCCGGGCATGAAACGGCAGCAGAAACGGAGAGGGAAACGGCCGCAAAGGCTCACTGACTTCTTCGGCCCTTCAGGGTGGCGTGGCCAAGATGGCGCCGGCTCCTCTGCGCCCAATCACCGGCGGCCACCATCTAAAGGGCATACATCTGGCGG